TGAGCCACAATGCCACTTCTGGTTTTTCTGGGTAGTTTATTGGAGATAAGAGTCTCATGGACTTTTCTTCCTGGATTGGCTTCAAACCATAATCCTCAGATCTCAGCCTCTTGAGTAGCTAGGATTATAGGTATGAACCACCAGTGTCCAGCCCCTTTCAATTCTAAGTTTCCCTAAATCATCACAGGGAGAAAGGTATCCTGGGACTTGGACAGTAGAGAAGGTGTAGGAAAAGATTAGACTGAGAGAAAGAGGAATTTCAGTCAAAAAGAAAAAAAAAGAAGCTGGATGCACTAATATCTGAGCCAGCCTAGGTAGACAAATTTGAGAAACTCTTATCTCCAATAAAACCAGTAAAAAAAAAACACAAAAAACTGCAAGTGGAGACGTGGCTCAAATGATAGAATGCCACCTGTGTATGCAACCAAGGGGCCCTGAGTTCAAGCCCCAGTACCAGCAAAACAAAGAAATCTCTCTCTTTCCATGTGGAAGAAGAGGCTCTTGACTTCCCTTTAGACCCCAAAGCTTCATAATCCTCTAAACACGGTCTAGACTGACTTTCACCAAGGTTTTTGCTGCAAGGAGACAGAGGGAAGAGGGGTAGTGGTTTCTGAGAAGCATCACAATGTACCTCCACTCCATTTTCATTCCCTGAGCTCTGTCCTCCACCCTAGCAGTCAAGGGCAACAATGATTATGCCTGGGCAAAGCCCAGAAATGTGGCACCCCAGAGTGGGTGGTGAGAATCTAGGTTGGAGAGAGCCCTCAAAGGGCCAGGGTGAAGTATCTGGCAACCTCCCAGTAGGCTCCAGCATTCCCCAGCCCTCTTGTGTCCCCTGGAAGGTCTGGGTTCTGAGAGAGAGGAGAGAAGAGAGAGGGGGGGAGGGAGAGGGAAAGGAAGGGAGGGAGAGAGAGAGAGAATGCCAACAGACAGGTCTGAGCGGGCCTGCTCCTCAGCACAGACAGAAGAACCCTCTGGGGGAGGGGGCCCAGGATCTTGGTGAGGTCTTTTCTGGGAAGTCAGGTGCAGAGGGATATATGGCCTGGTCACACCCTACCACAGCCAGGGCCCAGCCCTTTACCTTTCTTGGCTAGCCTGCTGCCACTTGGGGAACCAGGGGTCTGGGCCCCAGGTGTGAGGACAGTACTTGCTCACCCTTCCCATAGAGCCAATATCAGTTCTCTACTTCTCTCCCTTGGGCTGGGCAGGTTCAGGCCAATCTGCACAAGAGCTTCACAGCAAACATTGATCTGTAATAAAACCACAATATGTATTCAGGAGAAGGCATTCCAGGCACAGAGAGAGCCAGACAACATGCATACACTCACCTATATGCAAGGAGCTAGGAAACATACACCTACGAGAAGGAAGACAGCAACAGTCCTGAAAACATATCTAAACATGGACCTACACTGTGTCAGATACAGTTGGCTGTATACATCTGTATATATCTGTCGTAATCTTTGTCCTTCAAAAATCAAAGCCTTCTCTGAAGGCCTATTTTCCCTGTCTTCCCATGGTACTTTATATGTAGCTCTAGATTAGCATTTACATTTGCCATTATAATTATTCATTGGTCAGTCTGTGTCTTGAAGAGGCAAGTATGAATCCCCAGCATCCAGCATGCAGTCTGGTATTAAGTTAATAGAGGTGCTTAATAGATAATTCTGAATCCATGAACAAAAAATACATGCATTCGGATAGTGCCATTCATTCCTAGAATCCAGAGATGATAACCATGAATGGTGCTCGTGCCTCTGGCCCTCCCTTCTTGCTTCCTGGTGCCCTGAGCTCAGTGCCTCTCAGCTTCCTCAAAGGCTCTTCTTCTCCCTCTCCCTCAAGTGTGGGACTGTAAATTTGAGCTCTACCTGACAGCTAGTAGGCAGGATAAGGGTTAATGACACCTCATTAGTGTTTAATTGGAGGAAGGAAGCTGCCCGGCACCAGACAGGTGGGCAGGCCTGCCCCTTGCTGGAACCAGGCATCTCTATTCCAGCACCCCTGCCAGGCATGTGGGTGATTTGGCCCTGGAGACCCTCAACCCAGCCTCAGCACCTCCCCCACCCCTTGCTTTGCCAATTTGGTCTTCAAGCAGTGCAGACCAGCACTCCCCATCTGTCAACCAGCATCCAGCGGGAGAGACCACTCCTTGCCCTTTCTCCTTCAGCTAGGCTTTGCCTTCTCCCACCTCAGACATTGGAGAGCGGGAGGTGGTGTGGGGGCATAGAGTTAGACAACTGAGAAATAGATTAGAGAGCCACTAAGGGAATAGATTGCAGATACAGACAAGCGACAGGGATGGGGAGGTGGAGATGTCTGCCCAATTTGACCTTAAATGAAGAGAATGCAAATGAGATGCAGACGATATGCAGATGAACACAAGGACTGAGAATTGACATTCCTGGTGGCAGTAGCTCTGCACTCAAGACCCTGGCGCTGTTGCCAGTAGTCACCCCCCTCCCCCTGCACCTAAGTGGTGGTGACCATTACTTTGAGGGAGAGAAAGGACCTCAAGAAAGACAAAAGTTTAGTTGGGTTAGGGCTGCAGAACTCAGGACATTAACAACTTAAGCTGCCACAGCAGCTCCAGCAGCCGAGACCCCTCTCTAGGTTAACGCGCGCTCGGACGCACCGTCGGTTGCTATGGGGACGTCCTTTTCATTTCCAGGCCTGAACCAATGGGCACTACCGCAGATGACCTCATGCCCCAGACCTTGGGATTCTATTGGCTATTAGGAAGCCAAAGTGCATGCTTTTCAATTGCGTCACTGCTGGGGATCCCCCGACGACCCCAGCTAGAATGGCTAACTGAATGGAAGGCGCACCCGAGCTCACAATGCGCTGCATGAATGAATAAGAGAAGGAAGGAAGAAAACAATTAAAGAGGAAAGAAAGGGAGAGGAAAGACCACAGAAAAGGATTTTTTTTTTAAACTTCGAGCTTTCGTCTCAAGGGGAGAAAAGCATGATTTGTAACCCGGTGAAGTCTGGAACGCCATCAGGTCCAGAAGACTCTCAGGGCAGGGAGATAGGGCGAGGTAGAGATGAGTGGAATTTTCGCATCTGTTCAGGAGAGACTGGGGCAGGCCCAGCAAATCGAGGGCCCCACCCGCAGCTGTCGCTGACTTTGGGAGAGATTGGTGACGCCCCAAAACTTGCAGGCCTGCCTAGCTTTTTGGAGCCGCGCCCCGGAACACGCCTCAAGGACTTTTGGTGGGTAGGGCCGGGTGCCCAAAAGGCCGCTCAACACCTTCAGCCTGTCTTGGCCCTGAGATTGGACTTGGCATTAGCTTTCCTGGAGGAGTGCTCCAGCCACGCAGGGTTCAGGCTGTGAGGACAAGGAATGTAAGAAGGGACCACCGGGCCTGAGTGCCTGTGGCTGGGGAGGGCTGAGTGCCATCCCCCCCCCCCGTGTGGGTCCGTAGGCCGCCTCGGTATCAGCCGTCAAACATGCACGGAGCGGGGTGGCTGGCGAGGGCGTGGGTCCGGGACGAGTGCGCGCCCGTGAGTCTGGGTGCGGTGAAAGCCAACTGGGCCCCGCGTCTCTTTCGCACATGCGTTCTTATCAGTGGCGGATCCGCGCGCCAGCGCAACTCGGGAGCGCGCGCGCCTGGCTTGGTTCGCAAAGAGGGGGTGTCTAGGGCCGCTGACAGCCGGGTGAGACCTCTATAATCCTGAATCCAAGGCAGGGGCTGCTAACCAGAGGCAGGGGCCCCACCTACGATTTCTCCTGGGGATGGAAGTAGCAGTACAGATGGTTTCCATGGCAACATATAGACATTCTCCCTGGATAAGGGTAGAGAGCATTCGAACTCAGCACCACAAGACCCAGCTCCTCCTTCAGCTCAGATTCCACTCTTTTTAGCGCCCCAACCCTCACTCGGGTTAAAAGACTGAGGTTTGGAGCGAGGGCCCTAATACATAAATATCAGGCACAAGCACCGACAGACATGGCATTTCTGAAAGTGTCCTCGAACAGGAGAAAGGATGGACTCCAGGCTGCTCTGCCGCGGGGTTGCCCTCCGTGGAATTAAATGAACGGTAACGGAAGTCGGGAGCTGATGGTGATGGAGAGCCCCGCCCCCTTCCAGAGAAGGACCCCAGTCTGACCTAGGTGTGCAAGGCGGAGGATGGGGGGGGGGAAGGGGCTGGCGATCTCCAGCATCTCCGTGTTGCTGGTCTCTGGACCCCCAGCGAACCCCCCCCCCCGCCATGTTCACACGCTACCTCTTGCTGCCGCAGCCGGTCGAGCTAATCAGCACAACATCCACCTATCGATCGCTGGCTCAGTGCCAGGCGGGCCGGCACCTTGCCAGAGGAGGCTGCGGGGCAACGGGGCGGGTAGAGCACAGCTGCAGGGGAAGAGGCACCCCCTCCTCCGACTCCACCCGGGACACAATTCAGAAAGAGGGACCTGATCTGGCGTGGGGGGGGGGGTGATCCCAGCCTTGACTGCCAGAGGTGGGCTGAGAGCAAAGGGGGCCCTCCCTCCTCAGCCCCACCCCCTCCACCATATAAAAGCGGAGAACAAAGAGGCCGCTGGGGAAGGAGGCTTTGATCTGACCCCACCTTCCCAGTTCTAGGCCAGGCACCGCCCAGAGTGCCCTTGGGGAGGGGGAGGGCAGGCAGCTCTGGGGGACCCGGGCATTCTGAAGTCCACGTGCAATCTGCCTACTACCCCTCACTTTTGCCCCAGCATCCTGCTAGGTGCTGCCTGGACTGGTGCAGTTCCCCAGGCAGGTGGGCTGTCATCAGCATCTGCCCCTTCTTCAGCACATGAAACCTGCTAGGGAGGTGAGTGAGGGTGCCAAGCTCCACAGCTGTTGTTGGCACCCACTCCGTGCTACCCAGAGGGGTGCCCACTGAGGCCTGGCATAGATGGCCTGGGCACAGCTGGCATGCCGGTCAGGCCAAGGCAAGCTTCGAGCCCAGGCCTCAGGGAGTCCTGGTGCTGGGGACGGAGCCAAGAGGGCAATAGGTTAGAAAGGGCAACACAAAGAGGGGTGTTTTATTGAAGGTTTGGTCCCGATATTTATAAAAATACAAACCAGCATGAAATTCATCATCATGGCAAGTCTGTCTTCACAGAAGACAAAGAGAAATGACCCCTGGGGAGGGCAGAGTGTTGCCCCAGGGAAGAGGATCACAGGGCACAGATGGCAGGACTTCTTCACCTTCGCCCTGGACCAGCAATCCACCTGTCCCTAGGTCTTCAGCCTTGGCTTCAAAGGCTCAAGGAGTTGATCCCGCCAAATCTCAGTCTTCCATGGAGAGGGGATGAGACCATGAAAGCAGGTGCCAAAAGCCACTTTATGTCCTGCCTGTGCTCCAGGGTGCCAGGGCCTTCCTGCAGCTCCTTGGTGACTCTTCTTCAGCTTGTGGTGAGGGATCAGGTACCTGTGAGGGTCACCTCAGACCCCCCTCCTTTCCCTCATCAATGCTCCATCTTGTCTGTCTGGTATGGTATTCCCAGTGCAGGTGTGGCAAGGACCCCTCCCAATGGAGGGTCCCAAGAGCATTCTAGCTCCTTGGGATGTCAGGGAGGATCTGCTTGGCTCACAGAACTTTCAGGAGACGCAGAATTGGAAGCAGCAAGAGCAGCAAGAGACACAGGGGGCTGGGAGTGTGCCCACCTCGCCACCCAGATGTGCCACTTTCTCCAGGGCTCCCAACAGGATGGGCTGACTCGGACTCTGTAAGGGGGAAGGGGTGGTAGTGATGGATCTGCACATTTCTTCACCAGCCTCCTTCTTGCCCTTGCCATTTGTCATCTCATTTTCCAGGGTCTCCAAACCAGACATTCCACCTTCCCATGATCTACTCATCCTTTCTAATCTCCAACTTCTAAGTCTCCTCTGCTAGACACAACCAGTGTCTAGCTAAAGGTTTTAATGGACTTTATCCTGGAGACCACATTCTCTTAGTCCTGCTTAAAAAGAGGTACAGTAAGCCAGATGCTGGTGGCTCACACCTGTAATCCTAGCTATTCAGGAGGCTGAGATCTGAAGATCATGGTTTGAGGCCAGCCTCGGCAGAAAAGGCCATGAGACTCTTCTCTCCAATACAAAACTCAGAAACAGTGAGAAGTAGCACTGTGGCTCAAGTGGTAGAGTGCTAAAGAGGCTCAGGCACAGAGCCTAAGCCCTGAGTTCAAGCCCCAAGACTGGCCGAAAAAAAAAAAAAAGAGGGGGGGGTGTAATAGAAATGCTTACAAGACTAAACTGGGGGAGGAGAACCTAATGCTCCACCTGGATCCCTTAGATCTTAGGGTGATGGTCCTAGATCCTCCCCATTCCCTCCTTCCTTTCTAGGCCCCCCAGACTGTTAGGAGGGCTGTTCCCCCAATTCCCATCACCCCACTTACTGCTCTCCTTGCAGCAGACGGACACCTGAAGCCTCAAGCACTGGCCAGGACTCTCGGGAGTTGGTACCGCTAGTGGGAAATTGGGAGGAAGAGTCATGACAGCATTGCATCTTTGTATTCCTCGGTTTCCAATCCTCCCACCTTCTCTCCCCAGTTCCGGAAAAGCTCTTCCTTACTTGGGACCACCCCAGGTACCAGCCATGTCCATGGCCCTGGCAGGTCCTTTGCTCCGGCCACCACCCTCCCTCGCCCCCCAGCTCTCTCCCGTTGCTCAGCCCCTCCTTCCTCCGAGACTGGTGGAGAGACAAGAAGCCCCACTCCTCGTCCCACCTTCTCCAAGAGGCCTGCTGCGTGCCCCCATCACTCACAGATGTAGTAGTAAGTCTCTCCAGGCAAGAACTCGAAGCCCAGGGAGAAAGGTGTGAAGCGCTGAATCTTCTCAGAGAACCGCACTGGGCCCATGGGGGCAAAGGGCATAGAGCACTTCCAGCGCAGGAAGACATTTGCCCCCTCTGCCTGGCAGGCCTGGTAGCCTGACCAGTCCACTATATATAAAGTAAAGGTCTCAGGGCCCTCGGGGGGCCCTGGGCTTTCATAGTGTGGGCAGAAGATGTCTAAGTAATCGTTGAGGCCCAGCTCCACCACGGCGTCTCCTCGAAGCAGTCTGTGGGCACAGGGATTGAAGGGAGGCATATAAGACAGTACAGGATGGGGGATATACTTGCCCAGACATCCCTGCTGGCCTCTCTGACGCCCCTGGAGATAAAGTAGCTCAGAAAGGCCCGAGTTCCCCAGACTGACACATCTTGAGAGAGAGCCCAACAGGTTTGTTTTTGTGTTTAAGAAGGCAAGTCAGCTTAGCCTTACCTTTCAGAAATGCTACCCACCTCCCAAGCTCCACCACCCCATACCTGGGCTTGACAAGTGCTAGGTGGAATCTGGGGCCCAGGGGCAGGGGAGCAGCCAGAGCCCATGAGCAGCTACAGACTGAGAAGACGGAACTGTCAGGATCTTAGTACCAAACACAGTGATGGGCAGACTCTCCTTTAGACTTTAGCCCAATAGTGCATGAGAATGAGAGAGAAGGTACTGGAGATGAGTGCTAAGTGTCGTGTTTTTAATTTTGGCAGTCATGGGGTTTGAACTCAAGTCCTTGTACTTGCTAAAGCCCAAAGGGCTATTTTTTGTTTTCATTATATTTCCAATAAGGTCTCATGTTTATACCTGGGCCAGCTTGGATTACAATCCACTTATTTATGCTTCCCGAGCAACTGCGACAATAGATATATACCACCACACCCAGGTTTTATTGGTTGAGATGGGGGTCTCTTGAATTTATTGCCCAGACTGGTGATAAACTGTGATCCTGACTACCTGAATAACAAAGACTATAAGGCAGGAGCCATTGTGTCTAAACAGGGCCTAAATAGGGCCTAACTATGTAGCCTAGTCTGACCTAGAACTCATGATCCTCCTGCCTCAGCATCCTTAGTGCTAGGATTACAGGCTTGTGTGGTGGGGAGCCCCTCTCCACATCTTGCTGTCTTTAGCTGTTTCAGCGGCCCCTTCCTCATCTCTTGGGAGCTGCCTAAGGAGCCAGTAAAGGTGGGAAGCTCTGGGACAGACAGTACCCGCCACAGCATCAAATACTACATGAATCACTCCGCTGCTCCCCCACCCACCAGACACAGCGAAGCTCCATTTATGAAAGGCCTCCAAGTGTCCCTCAATGGGTGGTCCAAGGACCACCTGCATAAGGAGCTCTGATTAGGAGGGAAGATTCCTGGGCTCAGCAGACACCCACCAGAACACAGCTGAGCAAGGACGGGGCCTCTGTACATTTTGTACCATGAAATCCTCAGTGCCTGGAAAAGTGCCCTGCACAAGGCAGAGCTCAATAAATATTTGTGGAGTGCATGAATGAACCAGGAACCTCAGGGCTGGGGGCTAGAAACCTAAATTTTCCACGGGTCCCTAGAGTGATTCAGAGGCACTGTTCTGGAACTGAGATAGAAGAATTCAGGAGGACAACAATGGCTCTTATCACTCCCTTCTCCCATTGTCTTTGGGCCAGCCTTCCTGGGGGGTCTGTGGACTCCCCACAGGGCAGGGTCCTGATCTCATCTTGCTAATCCTCAGCAACCTAGCCCAAGGCCCCAGCACACAGTCCTGGCTTATCAAATATTAGTGAATAAATGAACAGAGTCACAGATTGTCTGAAGTAGAAAATGAGAAAAGAAAACAGATGGGAAAGGCAGAGAGGCAGGGAGAGGAGGGGAGGAGGATGGAAAGAGAAAAAAAAAAAATACCGAGGTTCAAAGACAGGCAGCTCAAGAGAAAGAAAGGAATAGTCGTTTCTGTTACAGCCTGCACCTCTTTTCTCACACATGACCTCAGTTAGCCTGTCTGACTTCCCAGGGTACAGGTATTATTAGCCCATTTTGCAGATGACATAACTGAGGTTAGGAAGGTCAGACGACTTGCCCAAAGGTGATTCAACCAGAAGGGCAGGGCCAAACTTGGACAGAAATAGTAGGGCCGACAGAGGCTGAGATGGAATCAGAGATACCAAATAAGATCCAGAGACTGAAGGCTGCCGGGAGCAAACCGCATTCTTTCCGAGGGCCAAGCCCCCTCCCAGGTTCTGTGGGTCCGAAGGCTCGGGATCCCCAGAAGAGAAACGAGGGGGCGGGGCCCGGAGCGCGCGCCAAGGGCCCCCCAGCTCCGGGCTCCCAGACTCCGACGACCAGCCTCAGGACTGGGGTCCTTCGCCCGTCCCCCCCAACACGTGCGGGCGAGGGGAGACCCAAGGCGCGCCTCGCCCCTCCCCCTCCCCCGCCGGCTCAAACAAAGGAGCCCCGGCGCGCGCGGCTGGGTTCCGGCGGCGCCGCGTAGAGCGAGCGGCGGAGGCGCGCGCAGCCCGGGAGCGCGCAGGCCCGGCGGGGCGCTCGCCCGGTTCGGCCCGTCTACCTGGGATTACTGGAGTTCCAGTAGATGGGGTGGCGGAGGCCGGAGCCTCCCCGCAGTGGGGAACCGAGGAGCGCGGCCCAGAGGACAGTCCGCAGCAGGGGCAGCAGCCGCATCGCCCCCGGGGTCCGGTCTGGTCTGGCCCGGCGGGTCCCGGCCCGCTTCACAGTCGGGGCGAGAAAGGTACAAAGTGAAGAAGGGGGGGGGGGTGGTGCGGAAAGGGGGTGGGGTCCGGGACTCTCCGGCCACGCCCCTGGATAACTTTCCACCAATGAGAACACGTCTGCTCTTCTCCACCCAGAATCAACTTTTGTTAACCCGTTGTGGCGCGCTAGGTTGGCTACATCTACCGAGGCCGCTTCTGGGAATTGGGGGCGGAGGGAACACGTATTCCACGGAGTGTTGGGTTTGGTTTTAGATTTTGGGTGGTACTAGGGGTTGAACTCAAGGCCTCACGCTTGCTAGGCAGGTACTCTCACACGATCCACGTCCTCAGTCCTTTTTTATTTTGGGGGTAGGGTTTCACCTAGGGAAGGACCCCCTTCTTCCTATTTTATGTGCTCCCTGAATCTGGTGTGGCTGACTTGGGCTACCACACCCAGCTATTGATTGAGATGGGGGAGGGGGTCTAGTTAACATTTTGTCTTGGCTAGCCTCCAACTGCTATCCTCCCAATCTCCGCCTCCTGAGAATCTGGAAATACAGCCATGTAATTGTCTTTGGTGTCTGGATTAGCACAAGATAGAAAACTTTATTGGAAGCGTGGGAGGCAGGAGCCAGAGGTGGCACACACACGAATTCCTAGCATTCAGGTGGCTCAGGCAGAAAGATCACAAGTTGGAGTCCAGGTTGAGCTGGGAGACCCTGTCTCAACATACAAACAACTGATTAAAAAAAAAAAAAAGTTTGGCAAGCTGGGTAGGTGGCATGTGCTGGTAGTCCCAACTGGTAGGTAGGCTGAGGGGAAGGGCAGCTCCAGCTCAGGTTCTGGGCCATCCTGAGCAATATAGCCAGACTCTCAAAAAAAAGTTTGAGCGATTTTAAATAAAGGCACACACCGTTGGTCCAGGTTGGGGAAAATGAGGTACAGGCTAGGATCCACAGAACTTGTACACAGGCCTTCAGATATTGTTCCTTTGCATAGATAGGGATGGTACCAGGGGAAGAGAAAAAGGGGCCGGGGAGAGGTCCTTGTACCTGTAGGTGCTAAATGCCTACTTTGGAGCTGGAGCCTGTGCCTTTCTACCCATACCTTCATTCTGGACCAGGGCCCAAGCAGCCCCAATCTCTACATGGAAGGGATGAGGAGGTGGCGGTCTGTACAAAGCACCTTTGTTCTGGAGCCCTCAGGTGGGGGCGGGGGAGGGGGAGTGGAGGCAGGTGTGCAGCCTTGGGATCCTGGGAGCCTCCACCCTGCTCCGCCCCAGCTCCGGGGCGCTGAGCGCACCAGTGAGATCCACTTTTCCCAGCCACTGGTCAGAGGGTGGGGATGCAGGTCTGACAGCTTGTCTATAGTTGCTGCGGGGGCTGGGCGGCGTTGGGGGTGAGGACTCTGGGAAGCTAGGGACAAACAATTCCTGTGGTACAGGACTGCTTTGAGAACCATCCCAGATTGGGCTGAAACAAACCTCCAGCATCCCTGGGATACATTGTGACTGACCCTTTCTGTAGCTCTTGCCCTCCCCAGCCCACACTTGTCTGAGGAAGCAGCGTCTCCTAGCGGCTAGACCTGGAAATGCAACAGAGCCCGGGCAACAAACTTAGAGGCGCTCACACAAGTCTCACGTTTATTGTAGGAGAGCAGAGGCAGACTGTATGCGCCTCTCAGTCCCATCCATCCCCAGCCTTTCCCCAAGACTGAGTTGAGTCCATGTTGACCTGTCCCCAGGATGCTGCTTGACAGTGCCTGGCAGGGCCTGGTTCCTTAACATTGGGCAGGCACTTCAATGACTAGGATCCTGTTCCTTCAGTCATTTTGGGGGAACTCCAGCAGGGATTCTGCTTCTTTAAGTCCTAAATCTTGGCTGGCAACAGCAAAACCTCAGGAGAGGTCAGAGGTAGAGCGAGGATAGTGCTGGGGGTGGGGGTGCCGGTCTGGAGTTTGGGAAGCCAAAGAAAAAAGATCAGGGGCCTCTTTCCCTAGATCTCTCACCCTGCTCACCCATCCTCAGTCACACCCTCCTCACCTACCTGGAGGGTACCACCAGCGGTATGATCCCAGCTCCTGAGCCAGGCAGGTCACGTGACGGCCTCCTGCCCTGGGGATCTGCAGGCAGTGGCTTCCTTGGTGGGGGGGGCTTAGCAGGTCCCTGAGACTGGGATAGAAGGCAGGAGCCAGCTTGGGGGATAATGGTGGTGTTGCCCACCCTTGACACACTGGTGCTGGGAAACACCAGTTTTGGGGGGCAGCACCAGAGGTCATCCTTGGCTCCAAACAAACCTGTCACCTTAAAGATGCCACTGGGATATGTGCCCCCAGGCACAGAAAGGGCATCTTGCCACAACTACCACTACCACGACTATCAGCACCACAGCTCAAGGTGGGAGGAGAAGCTGTGTCCTTCTCTCCCCCTCACTGTTACCTTCGGGTGCCTCACCACGGGGTCAGCGGGCAGAGGGCGGGTGGGGGGGTTGGGTCGGTCAGCCAGTGCAGCCTGAACAGAGAGAGGGGTGGTGGCTGTGAAAGGACAGTCAATGGCAGTGGACATGCAGAAGTGCCCGCCCCCCAGAAATTCAAGTCAACATGCAAACGCAGCCAAGGCGCCTGAGAGAAGGGGGCATGCACAGAGGGCTTGTGTGCATGCCAGCAGATAGACACTTCAAGAGGGTGAAAGGTGTAGATCAACTCTGCAGGCCCTGGTCCACTGCAGTCCTGCCACTGACCACCAGGTGGTGGTAGAGACCAAGGCAGGAAGCTCACCCTTTGCTGTTGCTGGGGTCAGGAGACTGAGAGGGACACCCTGGGCACCTAATGAAGAGCACCACTGGCAGGGAGCAGGGATGAGAGCTGTAGGTGGACACCAAGCCTCCCACCTGTCTTGGGACAGGACGGGGCCCATCCCAGATTTACCTGGAGTTTCTTAGGCACGGGGTCAGGCGGCAGCGGCCTGGAAGGGGGGGCCGGGAAGCCAAGAGCACTAGCCTGCTGAGAGGTCAGAAGGAGCAGACAGGCAGAGTGGGTAGGAAGGAGCAGAGAGACAGATGTGAGCAGAGAGGGGTTAGTGTCCAGGTAGGAGCAGCAGGGCCCTAAAAGTGTGGGGCTGTGCATGCGGTTATTCATCTGCATGCAGGGGTGACCGGCGTTGTAGTGAGCATGCAGGCTGCTTGCACACACTGACTCCTGTCAGCAGAGCCACAGGGCTCAGGCCCGCGGCACTCACCAGGGCTTCCACACGTGGTGTCCTGGGCCTTGTCAGGTCCTGGCACACTGAAGGCCCTTCTGAGCACTACCCCCCTTGTCCCCTGCACTGGTCACTGTGGAGGGCAGGGATAGACCCACCTCTTACAGCCATCAGTTGGGCCACCTGAAAGAGCTCAGCTGAGCCTCTGGTTGAGCCTCTGGCCCTCTCATTCCAGCCTGTCTGCAGCCAGGGCAGAGATGGGAAGGGCTGGCCCTGACTCCTCTGAATGAACAGTGTTGACCTTTTTCTGAGTCTACAACTTTCAATGCCCATCTCTAGGGCCCAAGGCAAATGTCAGCTAGGTGGGCTCCCTTTCCTCTGGCATCCAGGGCTCACCTTAATGTTTGGCATCATCTGGGGCCTCTGTGAAGGTCCTGGCCGTTCACTGGGGCCGGATTGGGCTGCCCTGAGCATAAGGAAAAGCAAAAAGAGGTACAGGTGGTTGGAGGAGTAGCTCAGGTGGTAAAGTATCAGCCAGTGAGTAAAAGTGTCAAATCAAGAATTTGTATCCTGGTTTTGGAGGGGAAAAACAAACAAACACCAACCAGTAGTTGGAGGCATGGCTCAATTGGTAGAGCACCAGCCAGTGCATGAAAGCATCAGGTACTGTTCCAGTGTCAGACAAAAAAAGAAGGAAAGAGTCTAACCTCAGACCCTGTTGACTACTCTGCTGCACTTAGTTGAAATTAACCCTTTGCAGTCCTTTGGAGAGTGGTTTTGTGTGGTTTAGCCCAACTAGGTGAGGGAGAAGTTGATCATTTTGCAGAAGGGCCGCTGTATCTCACACTGGGTTCCTGGGGGAAATGGCCTTGGTACCCCACCTGTCCCCCCAGGGAGTGAACCTGGCAATGAGAAATTACAGGACATCTGCAAGGAAGGGAGGTGTGTGATTATGGTGCTTATGGTGGTCAGAAAGTTCAGGGTCCAAGAAGCTTGGGTCTCAGAAGCAGGGGACAGGGCTGCACAGGGGAGGTGAGAATTGTCCCCAGTTGTAGGAAATGGCAACATGGAAGGGATATTCATACCTGTACTGGCAGCTGGTTCCCTTGAGCTGGCATAGTCGCTGCTGCAGGCGAGCACGGTACCAGTAGCTGGCACCAAGTAACAGGAGGACCAACAATAGCAGGAGACTGAGGAGCAGGCCGGTGGTGAGGGAGCTGGTTGCTGTGGAGATGATCAGGTTTAAAGGTAGGCAAGAGGGGCTGGGAAGGTGGCTCAGTGGTAGAGCGCTTGCCTTGCATGCCTGAGGCCCTGGGTTCAATTCTTCAGCACCACATAAGAAAAAAGCCGGAAGTGGCACTGTAGCTCAAGCAGTAGAGCGCTAGCCTTGAGCTGAAAAGCGCAGGGACAGTGCCCAGGCCCACAGTTCAAGCCCCACGACCGACAAAAAAAAAAAAAAAGAAAGAAAGAAAAAAGAATTCTTCCCAGGAAGGAGTGGAAAGGCAGGAGTGAAATTGTTAGAGCGTGCGGAAGGGTCAGAGTCAGGGAACTGGAAGTGAAGGGGTGAGGAGGGGCAGGGGAAAGGCAAAGGCTGAGCCCCGTTCCCCTCCCAGCTGCCCCTCCCCCAGGTTACCTCGGAGCTGGGTGATGCAATCAGGGGGCGCCCAGCCCTCCTCACAGTGGCAGCGCCTGTTGCTGTCGCAGACCTGGAGGTTCGGGGTGAGCAGTAAGGGGGTCTGCATGCTGTCACCCTTTTCTTTCCTTGTATCCATTTGTCAAGAGCTTGGACTTCCACAAGTGGAAGAGAGAAGTCTATCCATGTCACAGGAAACTCAATGGAGCTAATGCTCAGCAGTACTTCAGTACTATGCTAGCCGTGTTCACTCTCGTCTCACATCCTTGAGGAAGTGGGCACTCGTGTGCCCATTTGATGGATGAGGAAACTGAGGAAAAGTTACTTATCCCCCTCCCCCCCCCAGGCCACACAGCTAGCAAGAGGCAGAACAAAGATTGGACACTCAGGTCCCTCTGTTTCCAGAGCCTCTCATTCTTTTCTTGGAGGCTCACTTCTCCCCTTCTGGCTTCCCCACAGCAGCTCACCCCATGCCCGTGGCATCTGCTTCGACATTCCTGTGCTCCCAGAAGATCCACAGGCTGGCATCGATGGTCTATGCACACCTGCCCCACGGACAGAGAACAGCAAGGATCACAGGTTCACAAAGCTTTCCTGGGACTGGCAGGCTGATGAGGCTCAGGCCCTCACCACTTTTACTGAGGAGGCTCAGGGAGCAAAACCTCCATCCGAGGTAAGAATCAGACTTCCTGCGAGGCCCAGACATTTTACACCAGTAGACAGTGCGACCCTGGCATTGCTTGCTGGGGTTCCGTCACCTTCGATCTGGTTTTGCCCACCCAGGTTACTCACCAGGCCAGGGCCACAGGCAGTGCCAGGCAGAGCCAGGAGGGGTTGGGCCACATCATTGCCCAGGTCCAGATGCACCCAGCTGCAGTTCAGCTGTGTCCCATTGACTGCCAGGGTCTCCCAGCGCAAACCTTGGGCTAAGCCCAGCAGAGGCTGGGCTCTACCCCCCTGGCACTGCAGCTGCCCACACATGGCATCTCTGATGGCAGGAGAAAGGCAAACAGGGTCAGCGGATGCAGGGCCCAGTCTCCTAACAACCCAGAAGAGGAGCCTGGCCTCCCCGCTTACCTAGATGTGCAGGGGATATAGCTGCCATTGGGGCTGCGTCCACAGTTCCCAAAGGCATTGCCCCGAGTGTTGGCTGTATGGAGGCAAAATGGGGCAGCAGGCTGGGCCTCGGGTCCCCACAGAGACCGGCACTGCTGCGTATAAGAGGCGCAGCGCCCGTGCATACACACAGCCTGTCCACCAGCACAGGGCTCACCGTCCCCCAGGCTGACATCAGCAGGGCACTGGGCACTATCTCCTGAGCAGAACTCGGGCAGGTCACAGTCACCTCTGGGAGGGCGGCACTGCCAGCCAGCTGGGCGCAGCTGCAAAGGGAGGGAAGGCAGCAGCATGGGTACTGGGCATATTCAACTAGGAGCTCAGGGTCAGAATAAGCCTTTCTCCCCTGGACCCCTGCAGGGGAGCTCTGGGTGAAATCATTCTAGTCTGTGCCTACCTGGCAGTTTTGACAACAGGGTCCATCAGATGCACATTGTGCCCCTGGCCTCAGCTGGCAGGTGAAGGCATCACAGCAGGGATCAGTGCAGGACTGTGGGCACAGGATGCCAAGTGAACCAAGCATCAGCGCAGGCCAAGCCCAGGACCCACCTTTACCTGCTCCTCCCCAGAAACAAACCCAGAAGGTGCTAGAAGCCCCACAATGAATGAGAGCTAGAGCCTTCTAGTCCATGGCTGTCCCTGTAGACAGACAGGTCCCTCAGCAGCAGCTTGCAGCTCAGGAGACCAGCTAGCCAGGGTGGTGGGGCAGAAGAGAGAGGGCAAGGCTTTGGTTGAAGGGCTTACATCCGGAAAGCCACAGTCACACTGCTCATGCGGATCCACGAACATATTTCCACACGAAGAGGACATAGCTGGTAGGTTGGACAGTCGTTCAAAGAGACAGCTGCCCATCCCGTCCAGGAGGGCTTTCTCCAGGGCCTGTCGGCTGCAGTTGCTGAAGTTCAGGCCTGGTAGGAAGCTAGGGGAAGGGGCAACAAAGCAAGTTAGGGTTGAGGAGTCTCCTGGCTTGCATAGTCCCTTTACCAGTACCATCACCCCCACCCCCCATTATCCTGCAGTCACTCACTCTGTGGAGGCCTCCATGATGCAGCTCTTGGATGGAGCTGGACCTGGACAGGGGCAGCTTCTCCCAGGCGAGTCATGATCCAGGCCTAGGCTGTGGCCCAGCTCATGGGCTATGGAAGAGGCAACCCCCACGATGCTTGCCGAATGGTCCTGTCATTGAGAGTGGATACCCCAACACAATGCTCACTCCATCCTGACTACTCCTGGGACAAATTTCACACTGTCCCTCCTTAATGGTTTTTGTTTGTTTTTGGTATATGTGTGCTGTTCTGGGGATTGAAGTCAGGGCCTGGGCACTGTCCCTGAGCTTTTATTTTCAACCTCTTTAATTTTTGAAGTAAGAGGAGAATCTAGTCCTACATGATAAGAGTTCTGGGTTTTATTCAGGTGCCAGTGGCTCATATTTGTAATTGTACTTACTCAGGTGGCTGAGATCTGAGGATCATGGTTTGAAGCAAGACCATGAGACTTTTATCGCCAATTAAACACAAAACAGCCAGTGGTGGAGCTGTGACTCAATAGGTAGAACTAGCCTTGAGCCCAAAAGCTTAGGGGCAGTGCCTAGACCCTGAGTTCAAGCCCCAGGACAGGCACAAAAGGAAAAAACAGAATTCTAGGTTCTAGCTCAGCTGTCATTTCCCTTATCACATAGCCCCTGGAGACCACCTGTGTGTGTGTGCTGGTACTGGGACTTGAACTCAGGGCCTGAGCACTGCCCCTGAGCTCTTTTTGCTTAAGGTTAGTGCTCTATCACTTGAACCACAGCTCTACTTCTGGCTTTTTTTTTTTTTGTGGCTAATTGGAGATAAGAGTCTCACAGACATTTCCTGCCCAGGCTGGCTTTGAACTGTCAACCTCAGCTCAGCCTCCTGCGTTAGGATTATAGGTATGGGCCACCAGTGCTCAGCTTCACCTGTGTTCTTTGTGCCTCAGTAGCCCATCACCTACCCTGCAGAAATAGGGAGTCAGCTGTGTACACTGTGATGCACTGGCTACAGGTAAAGAGCTCCAGACAAGAAGAGTATTGAGGTTGGTCTAGCATGTAGGGAGTTTCAGTGAACTGCCCCAGGAGCCCAGAGGAGACCTGTGAGAAGCTCACCATGTTCACACCTCCTGAGAAGTCCGGAGAACAGATGGAGTTCTGGATGGCCATGCCCACCGTAGGCCCAGAGAAGAAAGTATCACTGCGGGAGGAAGAGGTTAAAGATCAGAGCCTAAAGCCAGGGTAATCAGCACTTCAGAACCTAAGCTAGGGAGTGGAGCTTGGGACCTTACGTCACCAGCTGGGCGCTGTCGTGCGGTAATCGAGGCAGCAAGTTCGCCCTGCGCCAGTGGAGGAAGTTTTCCAGTGTGACAGCTGGGTTCTGGACTATCTCCACCAGGTCACGCTGGGTCCAGGCCTCCAGGCCTACTAGTACCACCCGCACATTCAGGGGCCGGAAGAACTGGAAGAGAGATGGGCTTCAGGAGAGGGGTTGCTGAGGTCAGAGGGCTGTGTGACTACTTCTTAGTCCAACACTCACCGTGTCTAGGAGGAGGGCCACTTCTAGTGAGCGGTTTAGCAGGCGTTGGAAGTCGGGGTACCTCCTGACCTGTGGGCCAAGAGGTTACCATGAAAGATGGCAGAGTGTGCAGGGGGCAGGAGAGGTCTAAAGCACCAGCAGGCTCACCTCGGAATGATCGGCCACAATCACCAGCTCCACAATCTTGCTCTCCGTTATCACGTCCCGCTTCCGCTGTGGGTAAGGAAGAAGGGGAGAGTCAGGCAAACTTGTCTTGCAGGGCATGGAGCAAGCTGTGTTCATGCCCATCCTGTGTGGTCAGATAGAGAAGTTGAAGAACCCATTGCACAAGGGGCTGGGAAGGTGGCTCAGTGGTAGAGCGCTTGCCTTGCATGCCTGAGGCCCTGGGTTTGATTCCTCAGCACCACATAAGCAAAAAGAATAAAG